TACACGAGGCCTATCTGCTGTAGCCGTCCCCAATTTAGCAGTGTAAAACTAGAGGGAAAACGGCTATTCATCACCACCCACTTCCAACTATTGGGCTACTCTTTTACCAACGAATAGTGGGATTGACCGTCACATTATAACGCCCCCACGGCTGAAAGGGCGAGCATGTTTGGTGTGACGGGGATTCGAACCTACGACCCGCAGATTGCGAGTCGAGCGCCCTAACCACCTGGCCATGCCGGGCCCATTTTAAAGTTGTAAATTCTTCAGGACTTAACTTACTGAAATATTTGTATTCACAATTATAGTAATCAAATGCACTGAAAGCTATACCACTAACCTGAGTTCTAATATTACTGACTAGTTGATGTGGCAGTAACTGTTCATCTTGTACTTAAGCTTATTGGGAATACTAAATTTCAAAGCAGGAGTTAAAATTTTCTTTTCAACATCACTCATACTTTGAGTAATAATAAATAAAGCTATCAGGTTGCACTATACATTAATGTTTACCTGACACGTACAAATGCTTCAATTCTGTAGTTGAATGCTCTAGCTTTCAGGTAGCCCCCAGTGGCACAGCAGTATGTTTGTGGACTTACAACGCTAGAAACCAGGTTCCGATACCCGTGATGGGCAAAGCACGGATAGCCCTTGGTGTAGCTTTGTGCTTAACTTCAAACAAAACTTCCAGCTATTATTTAAATAAACCATGGAATTATTTTTGTTGGTACATCATTTGAACAAGGTTATTTCAAGGTAGCTTACTCATTTTTAAATTATCAAAATATATCTCACAAAAATATATAGAACTATTTAAGTAAAATATTCAAAGTAAACACTTTTTGTTCACAATTTTTTACAATCCGTGTGTTAGAGGGTCAAATACAATTCGCATAACTTAAAACGAAAAAAATAAGTTTGAGCACAAGTGGATTAGAGAAAAAATTAAAACGCCCTTTTAATATCATATTGCCTCTCAGTGGGACAGCGGTATGTCTGCGGACTTTCAACACTAGAATCCGGGTTTCGATACATGTGGTGAGCAGAGCACAGATAGCTCATTGTGTACCTTTGTGCTTAAATTCAAACAAACAAATAAACACACTGGGCATTTTTTTACTGTGCTCGTCGCGGGTGTCAAAACCACATTTTTTGTCTTATAAGCCCTCAGACATGCCACTAGGCCACCTGGAAGGGGCATAATAATAGAGCGAGAAAATATCTTATGAAAGAAGGTACTGCTGATTGGCTACCTTGCTTCTGATCAATACTTCAAAATTACGGACGTTATATCTAAGCCATAAATTGTCTCTGGCCTAATTGCTTAACCACATTTAAAGAGCGCTGTTCAAATTGGAAATTTCTATTCCAGTCAGTTCTTTCCCCATAAAAATGCCCCTTTCTGATGGGTCAACTGTAAGTTTACAGACTTAGAATGCAACTTACTATTTAGGGTTTGATTTCCTCCAGTGGGCAGAGCGCACATAGTCCATTGCGTAGCTTTATACTAAAACAAAAATTATTAATAAAAAAAGTCCAGAAGTAGCTTGATCCTGAAATAGAGCTACAATTCAAAAGTATAAACTATTGGGTTTAATTCGACAAAATAGATTTTATATTGGATATACCAGAGTGTGACAGACATGGTCGGTTTTAGGAGGCATATTGTGGGACATATATATACCTTATTTTAAATAACATTGCTATCGTTCTTTTAAAGATTAAAGCCTACACTTTCCATAGTTTCGTAAAAGGTGAAACTTTCTGGAGATTACACATTAAACTTTATAAATTTAAATATGTTTACAAAAATAAAGTTTAAACCTTTTAGGATTCCGTTAGCTTTAGCCTGTACAAAATCGCAAAACAACAACAAACATTTAGTGATATAACGAACGCAAGAATAATTAACTTTTGTGTAATTCATTTATGTTCAGCATTATTTGGGGCAGGTTCGCCCTGTGGTAGAGCTTCGAATTTCGGAGTTGGTAAGCTGGGTTCGAATCTGTGTGATACCATAAAATATACCCCGAAACGTTTAGCTGTGATTGTGTTATAAGAGTGAAAGTAAATCCCTTAGCGTGTATCGTGAGTGGTAGGGTGCTGCTGTTTTCTTGCCCTCTGGTCACTAATTGAAAATTAGGGACGGCAGCAGATAGCCTTACTAGCTTTACCATAAATACAAAATACAATAGGAATCATTATTTTCTTCTAACTACCTTAGCAAGTAGTAAGTTAGCGACATAGCGCCCATTATTAAGGTTGTGCTCTAGTGGTGGATTAAAGGGACTTGTTACCCAAAAGTATTTTTTCTTAGTTAAGACTCAGTTTAAGTACTGAACTGCTATTTTAAGAATATGGCGATTACGTATATTGTTTCACTCGTTGCGAGAAAACAAAATAACGAATATATTTCAATTCTCCATTATATTTCAGTCACTAGTGCGAGACACCAAGCAGCTGCTTTTCTTGCACGTGTTTAATGAAGGCTGGCACTTGTTCGACCTGCAGCACAACTGTTTTGAGCTACCTCAGTTATTGTTGTAATTTAATTAGTTTAATTGTCCAGATCTGCACAAACAAAACAATTATGGGATTGTATTACGCAGTTACGCAATTTCTAAGCGACACACGTACAATAATGATCTTCACCTGTGCAACATAAGTTTGGCAGGGCACGGTTTATATCTACACTCGACTTATGATTAAAGTTACCGTACAGTGTGACACTTAGCTCTGAACCAGGTTAGTTACGATGTTTATGAATTTTACTCTTTTTAATATTTATGACGATTCTTAGTACGATAGTGTTGGTTCAGTCATTTGGTGTAATAAAATGAAGGTTAGGAAAAACCGAGAGCTTGCTTTATTTTCAAAAACAAGTTCATTGCAGTCTATCTTTTATAAGTGAAAAAAAAAAAAACAGTAAAGGGAACGAACTGTCAGAAGTATGATATCAGAGAAATTGGTTTCAACACAGTGTCCTCTTCAGTCTCACGTTGTCTTCCGGCAGGGAAAAAAAATTACTGGTCATCAAACGCCTACGTGACCCCTGATCTTGGAATGCCCTTAAGGACACAGGAGGTCAGGAGTTATACGGATGGCATTTATTGTCTTTCATTGTCCGTTCTTTAATTTCAAAAATAGAAAATAATTACGTTTCACTGAGATTGACTTGACAACCTTCTACATTAAACTAATCATTGTAAAATTTGGTAACTTATTTTGATAGCAAAGAATCTTTATGTTATTAAGTTCGTTAATATTTGGACCTTAAAAGCAGAATAGACACGTTTCTGTTATTGTTTTTCGTCAGGGGAATAACTTATTAAGCCTAGTAGAGCCATGTGATGTGTAACAAACTACTCTACATGTTTTATGCAGTTAGTGTTGTGACTATTTATCCCGAATGACATTTTTCAAAGTAAATAAATTATCTTTTACAAAATCTGAAATATTATCTTGATAATTTACTTCAATGATTAAATTTGAGAGTTATAATTTATATTAGTTGTAACTTAAATTAGTTATTATTTAAATTAGTTATAACTTAAATTAACTATAACTTAAATTAGTTATAATTTAAAGTAGTTATAATTTAAATCAGTTATCAATTAGTTATAATTTATCACACTTAAATATATTCCTCATCTCCATAACCAGTAAAATTCAATTTAAAGAAGAAATCCTGAAAAAGACTGTGAGACAGACGAAGTTGATCAAGCTACTTATTTATCACACTTAAATATATTCCTCTTCTTCATAACCAGTAAAATTCAATTTAAAGAAGAAATCCTGAAAAAAACTGAGAGACAGACGAAGTTGATCAAGCTACTTATTTATCACACTTAAATATATTCCTCTTCTTCATAACCAGTAAAATTCAATTTAAAGAAGAAATCCTGAAAAAAACTGAGAGACAAACGAAGTTGATCAAGCTACTTAGGTAGTGACACACTCCATCTTTCTTTAAAGATTTTTTTTTAATATAATATTCGCTACAATGCCTTTTAAAATAATCTATATAAATATAATAGTACTGTCTGTTGCATGCCTATGTAACTACTTCGCAGGGTGTGAATGGATCGTCACCAAAATTGGTGTGGTATATGCAAGGTAAAATACAAATTTTCAGTTTTCCGTTTTGTGTTTTTTTATTGGTGTTTGTGCGTTTTTTACCACTATTTCGCCCCCTGTTGATAGATCTTCACCAAATTTGTTGGGTTCATGCGGTGATATATTTAAATTTGTGGTTTCACATTTTCTGTTTTGTAGTTTTTATGGATGTTTTTTTTACAATTACATATAATGAAAGCAAATTTTCATGTCCTAAGATAACCTTTCATTAATCATCAATTTACATAACTTCCGTCCAGGGGACGGGTATTTCAGCTAGTTTTGAATATGATTCTTATTATTATTGTTCTCATCTTTTATAATTATTAAGATTATTTTGCATTATTAACTTCGTATATGGGTTTAGGACTAACTTGAATATCCTAAACTGAACGAACCTTTTTAGATACTTTTGGAATTACGGCCCACAACATCATTAATGAAAAAGTGCATTTTTAACATTGTTGAATTTTAGTATTTTTTGCGTTTTAACTTATGACATTATTAAATTGTAGGTTTACATTTTTAGTCCTGTCTTTATAGTTAACTTTATTTTGGTGAGAAATGTTATCACACTATACTTCTAAAACAGGCCAATCACTAATATGAAAAGTTATACACGTCATAGTTTCTATTACATGCAATGAAGAGCATTTTACACCTGTTCACAGAAAGGAAATACGACCAACCTCTAAAGTAGTATCATCTTAACTTTTTAATTTTTATAAATATTTATTAACAGCAAGATTTGACAAATCTAATGCTTTATAGTGTTAAGAAGGTATATTAAGACATAAGCTATTACCCATAGACACAAATTAATAGTTTAAATTTTATTCGCAGCTTCTTCGTTATTGTGACGTTGATATCCAACTGTGCAAATGAAAAGCCCAGAAAAGACAGCCGGTTTTAAAAAGTTCAAGACCATTCCTGGAATTGGAATTATTTTAGCAATGATATCGGGATTCATGTATTCTCTGGCGATCCTGAATTTGAAGCTTATGTCAGAAATGATCCCGGCCCAGTTTCTGGTAATCCAAGCTCTTATCCAGTTGGGAATTTATAATCCTTTTATTATCTATTCGAAATCTCATTACTTTGGAGAGAAAGGAGAACGAATTATTTTGTTTTTTAGAGCTTTATTTGGTGGAATAGCAAAAGCTCTAATGATATATTGTTTTCACTGGCTCCCTGTTGCGGATGCTTCCACAATCTATTTCTCTTCTCCAGTGATCATTAGTTTGCTCGCCTGTTTGGTTTTGAGGGAACCTTGTGGAGCTCACAATGCACTCGTCTTAATGCTGACAATAGCAGGCACTATGTTGATTGTCAGACCAAAGTTTATCGTTGAACTGTTTCAAGATGTCGATGACGTAGATAATCGCTGGAAAGGAATTATGGTGGGATTTTCTGCGTGTCTAATGAAAGCTTGTAGCTATGCAATGGCCCGTAAACTTAAACAAACACCGCCCCAAGTTGTGGCTGCCATGATATCGACGTTTATCCTTGTTGTGGGATTATTTCAACTGTCCTTGCACGAAAAAATTCAAATATCATCTTGTGGTAAAGACAGTATTCTTATTGTGAGTTCAAGCATCTGTATGACGCTAAATCAACTCCTCACCACAACAGCCCTACAAGTGGAATATGCTGGGCCAGTGTCTGTTGCTCAATCTCTAAATATAGTTACAGCATTTTTGTTCGATATATTCGTCTTAAATACTAGCCCCACCTGGCTTAGTATTTTTGGCGCTGTTTCGATTTTCATCGGTGTTCTTTTAACAGTATTAAAGAAACTCGGTTAGTTCCAAACATTTTTGATATTAACTTTTTTGTTCATTTTTCTATTATTATTACAGAGTGTTCGATAACCGATGTTCGTAAAGTAGTTCACAAGAAACTACATTTATTAAGCATTAGTGCTTGGAGTTAAGTATATTACTGTCGATAGATGATACGAACTTAAACATACCAGTGATGATGTGCATGACCGTGAGTTCGGTTTCTGGTTCTACATTAATGATGACATGCATGAACACGTGTTTGGTGTTTTCACATTAATCCCGATATACATGGTTATGAGATTTCGGTTTCTGGTTCTATATTAATGATGACGTGCATGACCACATGTTTAGTTTGTTGTTTCACATTAATACCGATAAACATGGTTATGAGATTTCGGTTTCTGGTCTCAAAATAAACTTTTTATGTTTTAGTGTGACATGCGCAGATTTATTTTTATTTTCTCTCTCTTTCCCGAAAAGTTTCATGTGATTGTGTGTTTTATTTGTTTTGATCAGAAATTTACAGAGAATAGAAAGAAACTGTGAAAAAAAGGGAAACGTGTTATATACAAATTAAACAACTCTACATTTGATACAGCTGTATTGTGAATATCTCTCAGATGTCTTACGATTTTACATGCATTCATTTATAGAAATTATTATTAATTAACAACTAACCGTGACCCGCAAAACATTTGCTGTAGTTTTCAAGCTCTTCACTTAAATTTTCCTTATTCTATAATTTTCATGCACGTTATCTATATACTACTAAAACTCCGAGATTGTTTGTTTGTTTGCTTGTCTGTAATTAACTACAGCAAAAACGGCGCACAATAGCGCC